TGTCAAAATGTATTCGTTTAAGGTTATATACTTTTACAGGGTGGCCCAAAAGTCAGTTGACCATCTTATAGCTTAACCCTTTGCTTTATTTAAATGCTTCTTTTATTTACAATCCCTAATAAAGTTGTCCAGAAAAAAGATATTCTTGTAATATAAACTATATTAAATTACACACACAACACACACACACACATACAGGGGTGGCCCGAAAATCAGTTAACCACAACGAGGAATAAATTTCTGTCTAGCGTAAAGTTTGCAAGAATGAAAAACGCAATTCTCCATTTATTTAATACACAAAAATTAAATCTATCACGCGAATTCGCATAGTAAACTGACTTTTGGACCACCCTGTTATATACATATTTTTTTTTTTTTTTTAAAAGGAGAGTAATTAATAGATTTAATCATTCAGAACTTCGTATAAAAATAAATTTTAAATATTTATATGTAATTAATAGAGGAATTACCACCCTTCTACATGTAAATGGGGTGATTTATTCTTCTGTTAAAAAATAAAATAATAATAATAATAAAATTTAATTTACAAATATAAAAAAAGTTAAAGTTTATCAAATGTTTATTTTTCGATGTAAACAACTTGAAAACACGGTAATTTAATCAGTAATAAAAGAAGTTTTATCAAAGAGAATTTAAGTGGTTGAAGTAAGTGAATCTGACCTTCATACATCCATCCTCTTTGCGATAATATTTAGATTAAAAAGAAAAAGAAAATAAAAAGGAATTCTTTTGACGTTGGACAGACATTTTAAAGCCCCGAGGAAGCCATTTTTAAATCTTTTATATTCATTTAATTAAATTTATGAATAAAAAAATCTGTGTTCTATCTCCTAACACAGGCGAATGTAGACTCTTTACTGTTGTTAGCGCCATCTCTTATCGATTATATGAATAAATAATTTGTTTTTTGGGTCCATATATATATATATATATTACTCGAATTTATGTCTTGTTTTTTTATTAAAATGCACCATATTTGTAGAGATTTTTGCGTAAAAAAAAACGTGTAAACGTTGTCGCTCTTGTGTGATTTGCGTTAAGCATTTGCAAAGTACATTGTTTACCTTCGTTTAGAAGAATCTTTAGTGAGTATTTAAATAATTTTTAAGCTGGGATGAGGATGAGGAAGAGCAGTTTGGGATGATAGATATGAAAAATAGCATTTGAGATGCTGAGGATAAAAAGGAGTAGTTGGAATGCTAAATAAAGATGATGAGGAGCAGTTTGGGATGCTGAGGATGAGTAGTAGTAGTTAGGATGCTTGGGATGTGGAGAAGGAGTTGGAATGCTGAGGATGATAATCAGAAGGAGTTGGAATGCCAAGGATAATGAGGAGAATTATTTAGAATGCTGAGGATAATGAGGAACAGTTGGGATGCTGAGGATAATGAGAAGCAATTGGGATGCTGAGGATGTTCATTTACTGAGTCGATAGTGTTTTTAAGATATTTTTGCTAATTAATTAAGATTTATCAGCATTGAAAATTTGAAAATTTTAGAGATTTTTAAAATTCTTTTTGACATATAAAATGCCTGGCAGGAGAGCTCTGTATATAGAAAACAGCATGTTTCAATACTTTATATCTTTAAGTAGGATTTTATGTTAGTCAATTGATGATTCTCAAGCAGTTTTATGTTTTAAGAGGCATGTTATCCTACCAGGGAAGATATTGGATACCCAGGAAACTATCTTAAAGACTTTAAGATGTTCCTACTGGAAATAAACGTGTACTGTGTATCAGGTCTATATGCTTTAGTATACATGAAAATAATTGATCAGGGCTTTGAAATTCTTGTAATTTATTAATCGGAACACAAACTGTGGCTATTTTAAAAGTGTTTAACGTTAAAAAATAATAAAAAATAAAAGGAAACGGGTCTTTTAAAGTATAAAATTTTAATATTTTTATTAAAAAGTTTTATTCTTTTAATCCTCGAAGTTAATTTTCTCCAGCAAATTGCAGAGAAGGAATTAAGAAGAGGAAGAAGAGAATGTTAACTTGACATTTCTCCATTGGGATTAATTACGTCTTTGAATATTAATTTAAATGTACCTGATAAAATATGAAGAAAATTTACGAAAATTCCAAGAATTCTAAATCAAAACTGAGATTTATGTTTAAAATATTCTAAACATTCTCTCTCCCCCTTTTTTTCCTCGTTTCCATTCTCGAAAATCGAAAGATTCTACAAAATTGTTACGACATATTTTTTTGCTGTTTAATAATTGGAAATTACACAGAAAATTTCTGGAATAAATTCTATAAAATTTCGTGTAGAAGGGAGAATTTTCTCCCTTCTTTTTTCCCTCTTTTTTTTTTTTTTGGATATTTTTCGTGTGATTATCGAATGTGTCATCCGAGATAGTTATCGAATGTCTAACGGATAACTCGACATTGAAACTTGTCACTGAGGGATGATTATTGTTGCATCTATAATCGATAACAACGTCAGAAAAACTTACGTCAGCGGATTTCTTCCCCCCTTCTGTTTGACTCTCTCCTTTATTTTGGAGTCCTTGGTCGGAACATCTGGAAGATAAGAGGATCTCCTCTTCTTCTTCTTCTTCTTTCCTCTTCTATTACTGTGTTACTTACTCGTGAAAGACCCCGTCTGAAAATTCTCACTTAGGGAATTGTATTGACTGAAAAAAAAACTGTAAAATTTTATATTTTTAAGGAGAAGACAAGTTAATTTTATTCATTTTAATTGGGTTCTAATCTTAATTAATACGTAATTTAATCATTTGAAATAAGAAGAAGAAGTTGGCATACTGAGGATGAGGAGGAGTAGTTGAGATGCTGAGTAAGAGGAAAAGCAGTTGAGATGTTAAGGATGAGGAGGAGCAGTTTGGGATGCTGAGGATGAGGAGTGGTAGTTAGGATGCTGGATATAAAGAATAGCATTTGAGATGCTGAATACTGTAGTTGGAATGCTGAAGACGAGGAAGAAAAGCATCCCTCTAAGACTAGGTTACTTACGATGTTCTTGTAAAAAAAAAACTTCATTTATCCTTATTTTGAACTTTGATTCCTTAAATAAATTATAAATTTATAAGCGATAAGTTAATTGCGATTAAAGTTTAACTTTGAAATTAACCGACACTTCATAAAGGAATACAATTAAAGCTATTGTACGTTTTTAAGAGGGGTTAAAGTCTATTTAACTAAGCTTCCCCACGCCATTTTACTCGTTAAAAAATTCAATATAAACAATATCTAAGCAATTAAATAAGGTTTAATTTATAAAATTTCAACATTTAGATTGGAAAAAAAGGATTTAATAGGATCGTTGGTTGTAAAGTTAGTAGGATCTCTACAAAGTTTGAGGCCATTTTTTTTTTTTTTTAAATATTAATAATTACTTTAAATACGAAATAATCTTAACAATTGATTACTTAAAATCTCAATTTGTGTATTTTTTGTATGAAAGATAAATGGCCAAATTAGTAAACTCGAAACTTTCTCCGGCAATCCGAGAAGGTCTCTTAAAGAAGTGCCTCAATTTATCATTGTTTCGTGCCAGATGTGAATCGTATGATTATCAATTTAATCATCTTATCGATATTTTGTCGCAGGGAAAGACGAGATTTTTATGTATAGAATTAAAACGGGAACATCCCTCCAATAATTAATGAATAATTGATTTAAAAAAAAACACTCTGCTTGTGTTGCAAACACACATAACACACACAGAGATTAAAGGAGGGCACCCCTACAAAAGAAAATCGCCTATAAAATCCAGATTATAGTGAAAGAAACACCCTTAACAAAAGACAATTGTAGCAAAATAGGAGGAGAGTGACATCCCCCCTGTCATTAACCGTCGGCTGTGTGTACAAACAAGGAGATTGTAAGCGCTAATTGAAAAGGATTAGTCGTAGAAGCAAGCAAGAAGCAATTATGCTGGATAGAGGTTAACGAGTACGACGTTACCAGGGGTATGTAGAATTAACGGTGGATGACAGCGCACTATACACTCCCCGGTGTATAGGAGTAGTCATTGAAAATTAATTATTCCACGGCTGCTGTCAACACTATAAACCTCCAGGGCTAACAACCAAGCAGGTTTGATCAACAGCGACGTATGGGAAAGGTGGGGGGGAAGGAAGGGAGGACGATGGCGACGTCACACCATAAATAACAAGTGAATAGTTTGAGGAGGACATAATGGTTATTTCACAGTTTCATACATCTTTTATGACACCCGCTTGCCATTGTTATCGTCTCCTACCTTTAACGTGGCGCACACTGCCTTAATGGAGAATTGAATTTCGACTTAACTAGTGGGGGGTGTTGGGTTACTGGCATTCTTGATCCACCAAATGGCCCTTTCTAATCTGAAATTGTACTCGTCGTCTCCCATTGCCTTGTGAAGATAAACCGGTGTTGTGTTTAACTTCTGTAGATTTGTGGTAAATGACGATGATCAAATTATAATTTAATGCGTGGTTAAATATGTGGAAAAGCTTTAATGCCCATTCCAAATTGTTTTATTTAATGATTGACGGGTGGCTTTGATCATTTTTTAAAGTCATTTTTGTTGTATAAATTTAGCTGTTTTCATTGATGTAATACACTTAAATGTTGTATTTTTTGGCTAAATTTGCTTTAATACAATTAAAAATAAACCAATTTTGCTTTATTCTAATCACTTTTTTACTATAGCAGATTATCCAGCAAAAGCCTGTCTGGTTGTCTGACCTTCAGCGTTAAAATTAACTTCTTTTCTCCTATTTTTTTGTCAATTTAATTGCTTAAAAGTTTGCATTTTTTACAAATTTTTGGGTATATTGACTTTAGAGTGAAGCAAAATTGGTATAATTTTAATGTTTAAATCACATTTAAATCACAGTAAAGCACTCGACAAAACAGCCAGTCGGAATGTCTGACATCTATCATTAAAAAAAAAAACTTCTTAAACAGGTACGAAAACAATTATTATTGATTATAAGAAAAGAAATCCTTTTATTTTCTTAGGCACCTGGCAAGGAATCCTTTCATCTGCGACTGCAACTTGCGGTGGTTGGCCACTTATTTGCATTTGAACCCAATTGAGACGAGTGGAGCGAGATGCGAGAGCCCAAAAAGGATGTACAGAAGAAGAATCAGCCAAATGAAAGACAATAAATTCAAATGTAAAGGTATTCTTCTCATTTGAGTTGTGTCTTGTTCTCTTGTCTCATCTAACAGAAGTGAGTGTCTGTTCTTCTATTTTTTTTTCTCTTATGTACAGTACTTTTATTAATTTCTCTCTCTTCTATGTGATGTGACTTTTATGTCAATTTATATATAAAAGTTGCATAAATTATTATAAAAATATATTTAAAATTAAGATGGAAATCCAAACCAGATTCGTATCTGGCCTCGATTTTCATCTATATAAATCCGTTCTCGAATATAAACGAACAGACATACGGACGAACATAAAAGAATGGTCTTAAAATCTATAAATTGCAGCTCAATATTAAGTTTTCCTGACTTGTTTACAAGAGGAGGAACTCTTCTTCCACTTGAAGCAGTCTTAAAGAAGAAATTAAAAATAGCTTACAAATTAATTAATTAAAATTTAAAACTTTTTAGGGAGTTTATAAGAATAAATATAAAATATTTTAGGCTCTGAAGAGTACAGAACTAAGCTTGCTGGTCAGTGTATAGTGGACAAAGAATGCCCAGAGAATTGCGTGTGTGAAGGGACCATCATCGATTGCTCCAAGAAAAGATTAAGGGATATTCCCAATGACGTACCTATGTTTGCTACAGAGCTGTAAGTCACCTTTATTTCTATAAATAGACAATAAAATCTTTTAAACCCCCGACTAAATTCTTTGAATTCACCTCTAAAAAGGCGATTAAACGACAACATGATAACCAAAGTAAAAAATGATGGATTATTCAAGAGATTACCTAACTTAAATAGGTTGTAAGTAGTGTATTTTTTTAAAAACTTTTCTAATTTAACCCCACCCCCCCATTTTAATAGTATTTTTTTAAATAAATTTAACTTTTTATCTCCCCTCAGAGATCTTCGTAATAACGAAATCTTAGATATTGAAGATGGGGCATTCCAAGGTGCAACGGGTTTAAACGATCTGTAAGAAGTACCATTTAAGTGTTTATGAGTTTATTTAATACATAAAAATTAAATTTTTTCCTGTTTAAATTTAGTTTGCTGACTGAAAACAAGCTTAAAGAGATAAGGCCGAAGATGTTCGCTGGTTTAAAAAACGTGAAAACGTTGTAAGTAATTAATTTCTGCCCGTTTTTTGAACGTTTTTTTCAAGTATTTTTTCGTTTTTTTTTGTTTTTTTTTTCAAAAATATTTGTAAAGTGAATCATACATTTTGACTTATAAACCCATCTCCATATTTTGTATTGAATTACAATGACGCAATTTAATGAGTTTTTAACACAAATGTGGGGATCGAGTGACAAGAATCTATAAATTTCAACCCCCCTTTTTTTATCTGATTTTTTTTTCTTCTTCTTCTTCTTCTTCTTCTTTACTTACTTTACTGAAAAATTCATGAAGTGGAACCGAAATGTACTCTAATTTATTCTAATCTTTGGTGACAATCCATTTATCACTGGACCACAACAGGATCGTGTTACCTGCAATAACAGAATGGTATACTTTTGTAGTTTTATGGCTCTTTTCTTCTTCTTTTTTTCTTCTTAAATTAAGAAGATTCTTTCTTGAAAATAATTCTTCTAGTGCCTGTGTGTATGGACCTTATATATATATATATAACTTCAATGGCACCCCACGCTTCAACTGTAATATAACACGGCACAAATATACTTTTTTTTTATGTTTTAAAAAAGGGGATGCTGTAAGTCGGTGCGTGTATTTGTTTTACGTTAATTAATTGTTAAGGAAAAGCATTAACATATGGAGAGATGGTAACATAAGTAAATTCATTATGGAGTTTTTGTCGATTTCTGCACAGATTTATGACCTGTTTTCTCCCTTTTTTTTTTCTTTGGTTTAAAAATGCGAATGAGTGTCTGAAGATATTTACATTTTAATTTAATTTGTATCTATTCTGTAACTGTTATAAAAATATAAGAGAAATAATACATTTAATGGAAAATTATTAAAAATTTAAATATTTTCTAACATTTTTCTGGGCAATTTTTTTCTTAAAAGAGTGAATATTAGGAATATGGATGAATACATATACGTGTAACATGTCAGAAACACTCACGAATATTCATAAATGTCGTTTCACACGGCACAGGTTGCAGACGATTGAGAATTTTTTCTTGTCTTTTCTATCTCTAGTCTCTGAGCCCGAACACCAAAACACGGACCAGTTTACCAAAGAAAATCCTCTCAGGTGGCATCCTTCATTGATAGATCGCCCACGTGTTGCATTGTCGTATACAGACAAAACAATCGAATCTCTAATGTTGACCTCCCATTTAATTCTTGGTCTTTCTCTCTCGAACGAGCAATTTAATCGAGACTTCCTGTCCCTAAGCTTTCCATGTCTCCTCTGTGAAGTGTATTTTTTTAAAATCTACCACCTTGGCTTGCATAATTTGATTTATTGTTGCTTTCTTTCGTTACAAAATTCTCTCTCCCCTATGAATTTTTGAATGCGGGAGATTGCTTTACAGATTGATTTATAAGTTTACACGAGAGAACTTTATTAAATGTAATTTTAATTAGTTACACATATTAATTTTCGCCGTCTACATTTTGGCATCTGTAGAAACGAGTAAATAAGACAAAGGCTGGAGAGAAGTGACGTGGATTCAATGTTAGCCACAAACCAACATTTTAAACCCTTTGTCTTTAATTACATTAAGTTTTCCATTAGTTTTTTAATATAATTTTATATATTTAGTAGATTATTATGTATTTATTTATCTTTAAATAATGAAATTAACTTTAAAAAATCGTTCTAAACACCATCTAGAATGCTCAGAACCAACCAGATAACATGCATTACCAACGATACATTTGCCGATTTAGATTCAGTTCGTTTGCTGTAAGTATTCGAATTTTTAATTATTAAAACTTAAATAAAACTAGAAAACTAAAATAAAAATAATTTTATAACATAACAGCTCCCTATATGACAATAGAATAAAGTGTATAATGCCAGGATCCTTCGAAAAACTACATTCTCTGTCCACGCTGTAAGTACCATCGCCGCCATTTTTATATACCTAAAAGAAAAAACAGTTTAAAATTAATTAATGCCTCACTTATTCCAGAAATTTATTAGCCAATCCACTTAATTGTAACTGCCATTTACGTTGGTTATCCGACTGGTTGAGGAAGCATAAGATTGTAACTGGAAATCCAAGATGCCAATCACCGAACACTCTGAAGGATATTCCTATACAGGATGTGGCACTTAAGGATTTTACGTGCGAAGGTAAGGATAATTTTAATCCTTATAAATCATTTTAGCTTATTTAATTTATAATTTTTATTTTTTTATTTTTATAAATTTCAGATCAAGATCTATTGGAATTCTGCGATTTCGAATCTCTTTGTCCATCTAAGTGCGTATGTACCGGAAATGTTATTCAGTGCAGCAGGCAGAAATTAAGATCTGTACCGAAAACCATCCCCGTTACGGCAACAGAAGTGTAAATATTTAAATTTAATTTTAATTATTTTAAACGTTTTCATATAAGAAATTTGAAGCATCTAGAAGACCACGCTCATTTCCATTAGGTAGATTACAATAACCGATTAGAAAATTTGGTTAGTTCACTTTGGTCTGCTTCTCGTAGCCAAATTTATCTTTATATTGTTATATTTCTAAAGAATTTTACAGCAGTATTTAATTTATAAATACTGGGTGATCCAAAATTCAGTTCATCTCCAGTGGCCAAGTAGATAAAACCACTGAACACTCGTCGTGGGTTCGAGCCTTGACAACAGGCTACCCACATGAGTTTTCCTGATTTTCTTCACGTAAATAGGAACTATTTTCTCTTATAAAGACCTCTCCAGAGAGGCACCACCCTTCGACAGATCGCCCACGTTCCTCCTTGCCGTAACAAGCAAACCAAACCAAAAGTCAGTTAATCATTGCAAAGACTAAATCATCACGTAGATTTGATGGTACAAAATGGTTACGGCAATAAAGGGGTACCACTTAGAAGGATTTTGAATGGAAAACTACTAAAAACAGTTATTCGACTTTTGGGCCACTCTCTCTATATATAAAAATCTCTATACATTTTAAATATTTTACGTGTAAATCATAAAATAGCAGTGAAAAAGACTACTCTAGTTCACTAAAAAAAAAAAAAAAAAAAAAATCTATAAATTCTAATACTTTAAAATCCTTTCCAAAAATAAATTATGATAAATTTTTAATAAACAATTAAAATTTTGAGACATTTATATAAGCTAGTGGCATAAAATTAAAAATAAAGTATATAAATCAACAACATAATTATAGGGTTTCATTAAGTTGTTTAAATTCAGAAATTTCAATAATTATTATTGGCATATATTTCATATTAATATAAATTGCTATAACNATAGCATTAAGTATTGTATGATACGAGCTTTAGATATGTTTTAAATGATCTTGCAAAGTCCGTGTGCTCAGGTCTTCTCAGAGCCTAAGTGGTCAAGATGGTTGATGATTGATAGCAAAAGTAGATATACCTATACATAGAATAGGCACACCTTTGCTTTATGCCAGTTGTTATTTTATATCAGAATGGCGAGAATTACTAAAATGCCACCCTTTTTTTTTAAATTAAGTCTTGTGTTAAATCTGTAATTTCCAGGCTAAATCTTAGCTTTATAGTAAAGTTAATCATTTTGAAAATAAAATTTTCATTTAAAACTATAATTTCGTGTGTAAAAATGCCGTTAAATCTGCAATTCTGATGAGGAAAATCTAGTTTTAAGGCTAAAATTCACTTTAAAATCATAATTTTATTAAGTTAAAATAATATTAGATGTAATTTTCTGACTGAAATTAGTGTGAAATCGTAATTTTTAGGCAAGTAAACGGAGATAAAATCTGAGATAAATCTGGAATAGCTTTATTTCTATAATATTATAAGATTCAGGATAGTTAAATGTATTATTTTTTTCTATTTTCTATGTTTATAAGTTGTTTCTTACATTTCTTTTCGCCTATTTTATAAGGCTTCAATGAAACCATGAGCTTCCATCAGAACTTTTATGTGAAAGCCCATGGTTACATCTTAGTTTCCTGGAGTCAAGCTTAGTTAATGTTGTAGTTTATAACTATGGTATATTAGGAACCAAGTAAGCTATAATAAGAACCTCATCATCTCTTTTTTATGCAATTAATTTAATTTAGATAATGTTAAATGGTTCTTACACTGTTTTATTTGCTCCTCTGTTAAGTAGTTTTTTTCCCATAAATATTTAGTGTTAAAATAGGAATGGATCTTATAATTTATACGATAAAACGCTTAAATTTCTACACTTTTATCTTAATAATTATTCACTTTTAATACATTACTTTATCTGGCAGAATTTTAAGTTACAACAAGCTACAGTGCATTCAAGAAGACAGTTTCAGAGGTTTAAAATCTTTAAGGATTCTGTATGTATTTAATTATATTTTATAATAAAATGCAATATATAACTTTAAACATTATTATTTCATTTATTTTTCTTATAGATCTCTTCATGGAAACGATATCTCTTTCATACCAGATACGGCATTTCAGGACTTAGTTGCCATAACGCACATGTATGGAATTATTTGTCAAATTTTCGATGTATCTTATACTTTAATTTTTAATTGATTTTATTTAATTCAGAGCATTAGGTGCCAATCCACTTTATTGCGATTGCAGTATGAGATGGTTATCCGACTGGATTAAAAAGGATTACATTGAACCGGGTATTGCCAGATGTGCAGAACCTCATTTAATGAAGGATAAATTGATACTAACGGCTCCTTCTAATCACTTTGTCTGTGCAGGTTTGTTTTGAAGAAACCATTTTTCTTGTAATTTATATAACATGCAAGTTAGAATCTTTGTTGAATGTGTTCTTTGCAAGTTCTTTTAGAGTTTCTATGAGCAGTATTCTTCCAGAATTAAGTCGTTGAGTCAAGTAAATTATTTGCTTCATGGACACGTGAAGTAGTTTATTTCATTAGTTAATGGTGTTTTGGGAGAAGACATTATTAGCTGGACATTATCTATGAGATCTTCATGAGGATCTCATAGTTGAAGCTTGTAATGGGAACTTCATACTAGAGTTACCATACAAGCTTATGAGGATTCTTACAGAAGATTACTAGTATACTTTTTCATATATATTCTAGAGTAGAGATTCTCAACTGGGTCAATATACACCGAGAGGTTCAATGGAATTTTGTATGGGATCGGTGAAAAAATCAGAGAATTTTCAAAGAAGAATAACAACAATCATTATTGACTGATTTAATAATTTACTCGATATATTAAGCAAAATCTTGGGAAATAACAAAAATNGCTGACCATGATTGTATGTTTCCCCTTTTGTTTGGCCTCCTGAACGTAGGTAATGACCTTTTCAAGAGCATGATGGGTGGCTCTTCCTTTCATGAACCCATATTGGTTGGGGTTTAGGATGTTATTAGCATTTAAGTGATGTAGGATTCTGTCAGCCATTAATGCGTCCAACACCTTTCCTACCACAGAGAGTAGGGAGATGGGGCGATAGTCAGTTGCTTTATTTGGAGAGGTGTCCTTATCCTTTTGTATTAGTTTAATGGAGGCCTCCTTCCATTTTTTCGGGAAGTATCCACAGTCTAGGCATTTATTAAAAATGACAGAGAACGTGGTGGGAATGGCTGCATAAGCATGCTGGGCCATTCTCCAATCAATAGAGTCTGGTCCAGGAGCTTTCCGTTTCTTTATGATTTTAAATTGCCTGGAAATTTCTTGGGTGGTGAAAGGCCTGTCATTTGCATCGGATAGGGTGTTTTTACTCTGTTTCCTGATCTGTTTGTGGTAGTTGGTGTCTGTGCTGGGGTTATCAGGAGGAAAAAGATCAGAGAAGATGGTTTTATAGGTGTCTTCTAAAGTGATGGTGTTTTTTTGAGAGTTTGCGATGGTTGCTGGGGTTGAGAGCAGTTTCTTTTTCTTGATGGCTGTGTGGTATGGGGTTGACCAGGGACCCCGTTCATTGGAGGCATTGCAAAAATTTTGCCATGATTTCCTTCTGGTTTGATTGATCAGAGTTTTGTATTCTTTAAAATACCTTTGATAGGTTTGGTAAAGTATCTGTCTATTGTAGGGATCTGACTCTTTCCTGTACTTCCTTTTTAGCCACACGCACTTTCTTCCTGTGGGTTGTGAGTTCCTGATTCCACCATGGGGCTGAGGGCTTACTAGTTTTTATTCTTGTGGCTTGAAAGTATGCTCTGCGGAGAGCATATTGTAACTGTTCGACAGCATAATCAATGTCTTGTGGTTGATTGATCGAGGTAAGATCAGTGGGATCCCAATGCGTTTTTATGTAGTCTTGGTATAGGTCCCAGTTCGTTACGTTATGAATTGTTAATTTTTTTGGGCAGTTTGCAAAAGAGATTTTGGTAAAGATGTAAGCGTGATCACTCGCTGAAAGACACTCTTGGGTCTGGCAAGTGATTTTAAATTTCAATAGGTTTTGGTTACCGAGACATAGATCAATCCAGCTATCCCCTGTGCTGCTAGAAAAAGTTGGCAGCTGGCTAGTATTTAGAGACTGGAGGTCCATTTCAGAAAGGAGTTCACATACCGCGTAGCCCCTTTTATCTTCGACTGGGCTATGCCAGATGGGGGATTTTGAATTGAAATCCCCGCATACCAGGATTGGGTTCTCAGAGAGTTCATTTATATACTCTTTTAGTGCATTTAGTGGGGGATGAATGTCCTCAGAGGGTGGAGCATATACATTTAGGATGAGCAAATGGTGAGAGCCATAGCTAACCCTGATGGTAGTGATATAGTTGTTACAATATTGTGTTACCAGCTGGGCATTCAGGTTATTGTTGACAATTTGAAAGCCCGTTTTTATCGGATGGTTGTCTTTGCTCCAGGTATAAATACGCCCCCTGCCTAGCAGGGTGACCTTCCCGTCGTAGAGGTAGGGTTCCTGGAAGGCAAGGATGTCAGCGTTCAAATCTACTGATGTCTGGACAGTATTTGACATGGCGGCTTTACACCTCTGTAGGTTTATTTGCAGTATGTTGAGGGTATCCTTTGTTGGATGCGTTGGATTGTTAGTCTGATTATAGATGGATTTGTTAGCCATGTTGGGTGCCTGGAAAGAAGCCATTATTCATAACATGTTGTCTGAATCTGGATTGCTTTATACCTTATAAGCATCGGGCATGATTTGTCGAAGGCATTGTGATCGGTCGAAACCGCCTTATTTGCTGGAACTATCTTATGTATACATCTAACTTTTAATTAATAACTATTAAGGTTACATACTTCAATCGGCCTTCATGAATTACTTTATGTATGATCATAAAATTTACATACATAAGCTTACGAATAACTCTCCATCAATATTCAGTTGCTGAAACCTTTTGTTTTCTTTTATTTCTTCATAGTTTAAGCCCGAATATTTATTTATTCTAAATTTATACTTCGTAGATGTGCGTGCCCAGTTGGATTTTCTGGAGATAACTGTTCTACTAATGTGGACGATTGTGTGGAAAATATGTGCCAGAATGGTGCGACGTGTGTAGATGGTGTCAACAGTTATACATGTTCGTGTTCAGAAGGATATGCAGGGACATTCTGTGAAATTATGCCCATGGTTGCCATGTTGTATCCTCAAACTAGTCCCTGCCAACAACATGACTGTAAACACGGAGTTTGCTTTCAACCGAGTGGTGCTTCTGATTATATCTGCAAATGCTCGCCTGGATTTACGGGAAAAAGGTGCGAATCTCTATCTAGTGTGAGTTTTCGTGAAGGATCCTTTCTAGAGTTTGATCCTCTTCATACTAAACCAAAGTGCAATATCACAATAACGTTTGCAACGCAGCAAGATTATGGTGTTATGGTCTACAATGGTGAATTGCAACATTTAGCAGTAGAACTCTTCCTTGGTAGGATTCGAGTGAGCTACTATGTTGGAAACTATCCAGTTTCTACCATGTTTAGTTACGCAACAGTTACGGATGGTAAATATCACACGGTGGAATTAATTTTAATTAAAAAGAATTTTACAATGAGAGTAGACGGAGGCATTTCAAGAAGTATCATTAACGAAGGCCCTAATGAGTATCTAGAAGTGAGAAGTCCATTTTATATCGGTGGAGTCGACGAAGACATTGGTAAAAAGGCTCTGAAACAGTGGCATCTTCGAAATATTTCAAGCTTTAAAGGTTTCTATAATTTATACTTTCGAATTTTATGCGATATTTTAAATTAAATTTGTTAATTTTTATGTAGGTTGCATGAAGGAAATGTATTTAAATGGTAAGCATTTAGATATTATGGTGGCAAGAAGGCAACAAAGAGTTTCACCAGGATGTTCCGAATACGATGATCCAAAACCTTGCAAGAATCACATGTGCCAAAAGGGAAATTGTGTACAAACAAATAAACATAGTTACGAATGCCGTTGCCATAAAGGTTGGAGTGGTCCTTTCTGCGATCAAGGTGATCAAAATATTAATATAATAGTTAGTTATTAATTAAAACAATTATCGATACATAATAACGATAAATTCTACCCGTAATTTTCTCATTTTTGAATAAACAGAGTGCGTTATAAGTCTGAAACCATAGCTACGTTAATCATTGTTTACAGTATTCTTTTACAGGTGAAACATGACGTTGAGTACGGAGGAACGAATTATTTTGATGGAGAGACCAACAAGCAGCGAAAAGTCGCTATAAAGTTTAACATGATGCATCTAGATCGCTGTATGTGATTGGTGGGGAATCTAGATGCAGCCTGTTAAACCCTTCGATCTTTGTTGGTGCCACTATTAAAAATAACTTAAATTTGTTTGTCATTATTCAGCACTACGTTTTACTTGTAATACAATAAACAAGATCAACGTAACTATGGTTCCAGACTTATATGGCTACATTAATAAACCAGTATCTTGTATATAAAATACCTATTCTGTACCCTTCAATCCACTGTATACAGTATATTAAAAATCCAGTTACGAGTTGCGTAACTTTCCCGGAAAAAGATATTTAAAATTGTGATGGCTCCATCTGTTACGATATTTTATTATAAAAACTTATTAATTATTATTATAAAATGGCAAAAAGATTAATTTTGACGGTATAAATTAGTTTTATAAAAGAAATGTAAATGCTAATAACTAGTAAAACCCTCATTAAATCCGACCCCATTCGAGATNAATCATTTTGATATCAAGTCAACATATTACCTATGTACTGTACTGTACAGTACACACATCAAATTTTATAAATGATTAGATTTACATGAATGAGTATTTGTACGTATTAAATGTTTGCTTTTTCTTTCCTTTCATTCAGATTTTCCTTTATCCTAGTTTCCTCATCTCCAGTTTATTGGGTCCCATTGCTGTTTTCACTCTGGTGTTTTGGATGAGGATACCGGACAAAAAAGAATGCTGCTGACAGTCAAAATAGTGTTTTTAAAGTTTGGTAAACTAATAACTTTACATGTTTCCTTTTACAGTTGAATGTCTCCTGGAACCACTAAGTTACAACCTGATATATTTCCTCATGCCAGAGGAAAGACACACCCAAGCATTAAAACATAATGTTTTACAAATGTTATCAGTATTATCAACATTAAATAATTCCGACAATCAATAACTTGCAAAGACAAACTTTCAAACCCGACGAAAAAATGTTAATTTACAAAGATCCACAAAATCATAAGATTATAAACATTTTTGTTTAACACAGATAAAAAAACTGTGTCCAAAAGGCAGATAAAAGTAAAATAAAAAATTAAACATATAAATCCAAAAAAAACAGACTTATAAGATATNTTTGTTTCTCATTATTCAGCACTACGTTTTACTTGTAATACAATAAACAAGATCAACGTAACTATGGTTCCAGACTTATATGGCTACATTAATAAACCAGTTTCTTGTATATAAAATACCTATTTTGTACCCTTCAATCCACTGTATACAGTATATAAAAATCCAGTAACGAGTTGCGTAACTTTCCCGGAAAAAAATATTTAAAATTGTGATGGCTCCATCTGTTACGATATTTTATTATAAAAACTTATTAATTATTATTATAAAATGGCAAAAAGATTAATTTTGACGGTATAAATAAGTTTTATAAAAGAAATGTAAATGCTAATAACTAGTAAAACCCTCATTAAATCCGACCCCATTCGAGATACGATACATGATCTCCCTCTAATTCCCCACCCCTTCGACCTTTAATTACCAAAATGTAATAGCATTAATGCCTCTAAAACCCTGCAAAACTTTAAAATTTTTCAACAAAAAGGGACAAGCTTCAAATTAGACGAACATAATCGCGTCCCCCCCACACACACAAGCATCCAAACCACATAAAATACTCCCAGTTTTTTATTTATTTTTTTAATTTTTGGACTATTTATATAAAAGATCTATAACATAATATACATATGTTATTTATTAATAATGTTTAATACAGGATACGAACTCACGTTTTATTCTTGTTTATACCTTACAGCTCCTACATGCCAGAAAGAGTTATTTCGAGAATATTACGAAGAAAACGGTTGCAGATCCAACAAAAAACTTAAAATGTCTCATTGTATCGGTTCGTGTGGAGATCAGTGCTGTAAACCACTCAGAACCAAACGAAGAAACGTTCGAATGATATGTGATAATGGGAAAAAGTATACCCTACTTTTGTATACATCTAACTTTTAATTAATAACTATTAAGGTTACATACTTCAATCGGCCTTCATGAATTACTTTATGTATGATCATAAAATTTACATACATAAGCTTACGAATAACTCTCCATCAATATTCAGTTGCTGAAACCTTTTGTTTTCTTTTATTTCTNATCAGATATACATTTTGATTTCTCACCACAAAATTCGTTTGATAATTTACATTATTCCAACTTATCGAGGTTCTCCATATCCCCGAGATCCAGGACCATACAGACCGTGCCACACTACATTCATAAAATATATGAATAGTAGACTCGTTCCTACCACACCGAGAACATCTTTCATCTCTACTTATACGATGAATCCTCAAATACTCTTTGCACATGACTATATTTTGTATTATTCGCCACGAAACCTCAATCCACCCGACCGCCATATAGCTGGCCAATTTATATTAGTATTTATCATATTACTATTGACACATTGTTTATGTATTAATTTATATATTTGAGTTGGTTTTATTGTCCTACTCAAATCAATCAAATGACTATTTTCATTAATAATCAAACTCAATAGTTCCCTTCATTTCCTATATTTTCTCGTATTATTCACCAAAAACGGAAAACTAGTCTCCAGTCGAGTGACTTTCCTAGAAATTGGGCCTATAATGTACCTTACAATATAGTACAACGGATGATTCTTTTTACTTAATATATTTATAATTATTGTTAATTGTAAAGCTAATTCAAAATCTTTCAGGTCCCACATTCCCCATCTTCCCACATCGACGTCATTTCTCATCATCTTTCGACTAAGAGGTTCAAAGGGTTTATTCTATAGATACGTATAAATAGGTCTCTCCAAGCATTTGATATCCTCCTTAGTTAAATTAGTCACACATAATTTATAAATAAGTTTTGCCATTATTACTTTTTTTTATTATTAAAGCTCTCTCAGGCATATATAGCCAATTTTCAGACCATATTCCAATTTTATCATTAATAGCCAACTTCATCTCGTCTCTATTTTTTATTTTCTCATCTCTCCCATACCAGATCCCCAGCACTTTCATAGTATGAACCCTCTCAATACCACTTACATTTAAACTCAGATTCCCTACAACATCCATAATCTTACATTTATTTTTGTTTATCTGCATACCAGTCAATGCACTAAATCTATTTAGTTTCATCATTATTTTGTCTAAAATAAAGCGGTTTACAACAAAAAATGTCACATCATCAGCATGTGATACATAAATTACTCTTCTTTCCATCCCAGGAATGTGAATCGGTTCAATTAAATTATCTTTTTGTATGTTTCTTAACATTACCTCAATATAAATAGCAAATAAAACCATTGACGACGGACACCCCTGTCTCACTCCGGCTTTACATTCAATCTCATCTGAATTTATATTATTTATATTTATATACGTGTTCGGGGTCTGGTATAGCCTCTTTATATACCAAATTTCTTCCTCATTTAACCCAAATCTATCCAATGTATGCCAGAGAGCTTGTCTATTTACGGTATCAAATGCTTTTTTAACGTCGATGGAGAGGAGGGAGAGCATGGTCCCTCTCTGCTTATAAATCTCTTGTACAAGACGCAGAAATATAGTATTACATTGAATTGTTCTCCCCTGTACACCAGCCGTTTGTGTTTCACCAATAACTTCTCTAAACACCAACTCGAGTCTCTTAGCTATTATCAGACTATAAATCTTATATTCTACGTTCAACAAAGTTACTGGCCTAAAATCATTTGTACTGCAGTTCACATCATCATTTTTTCTAATTAATATCATTTTCCCATTACAAAAAGTGTGACTAAAAACTTTAAAATTGTAAAGTGTATATAATAAATCAATAAGATTATCCCCAAAAAACTTAAAAAATTCTGAATTTAATAAATCCCTACCCGGTGATTTATGAACATGGAGCGCCTGTATAGCTTCCTTAATCTCTTCCTTTGTAATCTCCTTATTTATTATGTTATCATTTTTGTCTATAATTGGATGTATACAACCAAATATTTCCTCTTCCAACTCTTCATAATAAAATGGTTTAGCAAACAACTCATTATAAAAGCTATAAAAGCTTCCTAATATTTCGTTATTACTAGTAATTTTTTGTCCATGTTCTACTAACCTATTAATCCCTAAACTTTGTCTTTTCTTTCCCTTTTTTCTTTCAAATATTGTTCTCTCCACTTTCCTTTTAATTTTATATCTATCTAACTTATATCGGATATAATTCTCTTTGTTTCTTCTATCAATCTCTTTACTAATTTCTTTTTCAATTCTAGCTACTTCATTTTCATTCTTTTTCATAATCTCATTTGATAAGTCTCTTTGTAATCTTTTAATTTTATTGAACCTTTCCTTTTTTATTCGATTCCATGTTTGCTCTAATACTAATTGAAAGTTATTTTTCATTTCACTCCATTTTTTCCAATTTAATTCATGTTTCCCATCTTCTATAATTTTATTTATTCCATTAACAAAGCTAACATCATCTAACACTTCCTTTGTTATCATAATTCTGTTTTTATATCTGATTTGTTCTTTTATTTGAATCTCTACCTCAACCATTCTATGATCTGTTAGTCTTCTTAATTCTGTTTCTAACTCATAACTTAAAATCCTGTTTATTTTTCCTTCTCCCTTTGATGCATACACCTTATCCAGGCGCTCCCTTATTCCGCGCCCCTCCCAAGTATATCCGTGATGATGTGTCTAAAAATATCATAAAGATCATAATCCTCTAAAACACGCCGTAGAATATTTCGCGAACTATCTGCAACAATCGGTCCATTTTTGTCAATACCATCTAAAACACAATTAAAATCACCGAAAATAATTTATTCCCTACCACCCCTTAAAAACTCCGTCAAATTTTTAAAAAAGTCTTTACGTTCGTGTGCTCGAGTTGGTGCATAGATACTTATCACTCTAAAGGCCCGATTTCCAACATCAATATCTACTGCTATCGCTCTCCCCTCACTATCTGTTCTAAAGTCATGCACTTTTATATTTTTATTTATCAACAAGATTACTCCCGTGCTCATCCTAATAGCGAATGACTCGTATATATTATAATTTATAAAAATGTTTCTTAATTGTCTTACATCTTGCAGGTCTCTAATATTCGTATCCTGAATCCCGAGGATATCAATTCTGCTGGTAAGTACCATATTCATTAAAAATATTTGCTTACATCTATCGCGTAACCCGGATATATTAACAAATCTAATATTTACATTTCTTACTTCAGCCATTATCGTTTCCTTTTTGTGTCTTTCTACATATATCTCCTATCATTAAATTCTGCTGTAGTGTTGATCTTTCACCTAATTTTCCAATTCCCTGACTTGTCCGCTGTATTTCCTGTTTTTCCAATACTGAATTGCTCTCTAAGCCAACTATTAACCGTTTCGGGATCAATTTTTCCTTAGTTCTACTAGCGCGTCTTCTTCCTATTCTTTTCTCTGGTTCCCCTTCTATCCCTTCCACCATCAGTTTTACTTTACTCTGCTCCCTTCCTCTTTCTTTACTACTATCTCTATCACTCTCCTGATCTTTTTCACTACTTTCCTCAACTCCTCTATGAACTATTAATAACTCTGGAGGTTGTATTTCCCCCACTTCCCTTTCCTGCTCTATTTCCTGTTTCTCATTCCGTTTCTTTCTCCACCTATCCAAACTTTTTTACGCCTTCTTTCGAGGCTTTGTTTTCTTGGCCCCTTCTTACATATCTCCGAGAATAATGGTGTAGGACATTTCTCTCCTTTTTCGTGTTTCTTCCTACAATTATAACAAGCCTCACATTCCCGTACTAAATGACTGTTACTTCCACATCGATAACATAATTTAATTGTGCAATCTTTCATTTCGTGATTTAAATCTCCACATCTTAAACACTGTTTTTTATTTCCTACATAATACAATTGTACTCGTCTTCCTAATAATTCCATAAAAGTAGGAATTCGCTTCCTTGTTATTATAGACACCCGAAAAGCACCGGTACGTACATTCGTATTTAGATGGAGACCTGTATACACGTTAATTATCCTACCATATTTTCCTAATACTTCCATTATCAGGCTTTCATCAACCTCATAAGGAGCATACCGAACAGTTACAATTAACAGGTCCATTTCTAAACTTTCTATAGTATAACTATTGTCTCCCACCTTTATTTCTTGTCCAATTAAACGTTCTTTTTGTTCGACAGTAGACACTCCAACTTCCACTATACCCCTTGTAGCAGACTTGTCTCACACTTTCTCTTATTTTTAATTTCTCCTCACACGCTGTTATCAATTCCGTAGTATTTATTCTTTCCTGGCAGGTTATCCGTACTGATTTTATCTTCGAGTATTTTTCTATTTTCTCAGGTTCGTCCTCATTTGATATCTCCTCCGTCAAATCGAGCATCTCTTCTGTAGGATCGTCCAGACCAGTTGCGGCTGCATCGGGACGTTGACGACGATGGGCCGACCCATCGTGAGCAGTGAGGAACTCATCCTCACTACCCAGGGTCTCCCTAGAGGTAGACGAAAAGCTCGCCGATGGGATAGGCTCTCCCATCTTGGCGGCTTCGGCTCTCGGCCGAACTATTAGTCGAAGAGTCAGTGAAAAACCAGCAAAATTAAAAAAAACTCACCTAAAACAACTGTAGACACTATAAAAAGTCCAATAGGGGTAATAAAATCCACACAATACTTTCCAGCAGTCCAAAAACTCGAAATCCAGAACACAAGCTGAATTCTCACAAAAGAATCAGTTCCTGCAAAGTTCTTCAACAATAGGAACAGCAATGGCAACTTGCCATGTACATCATAAGTTGCTCTCGTTTCATGCTGGTAAGCCATTCGTATGATGTCAACGATACGAATAACAAAAATAAAAAAAAATTGTATGATGTCAACGATACGAATAACAAAAATAAAAAAAAAATTGTATGATGTCAACGATACGAATAACAAAAATAAAAAAAAATTATTTTTGTTATTCGAGAATAAC